CCTGAGTGATTGTTCAGCCATGCTGTGGCTTCTCTCAGGGCACAAGCCTTACTCTCATCTTTCTGACTGATTGGCCCTGGTCCCTGGTGGCCTCTCCTGAGCTGGTATTTTCCATTCTCTTGACCTTGTCTGTCTGGGAGCAAAGTTCCCACTGTGGAAGCAGTTCAGGTTACGGGCTTTCCTTCGGGGCCAGTGGGTTTGTGTCACTTTTTGAAAATCATTGCCACTCTAAAGCCAGGCAGCTGTGCTCTTGGGTTTTCTTCTACAAATTTCACCTACTTTGTCTTTGATACTTAGGGCTGGGATCTATCTGCATACTATTTGTGTACAGTGTGAGGAGGTCATGAAGTAGTCAGCGTGGGGACACCATGAGGGGCAGTGGGCACTTGTACAGTTACGGTGGTCTGCACATGCACACCATGACTTCCATTTGGCCCATGCACACCGTGAGGGGGCCTGCATGTGTACACCATGAGGTCCAGTGGGCATGAGCACAGTGTGGATGCGTTTGCATGTGGAAGTCTGTACTGCTGTCACTGAGCAGCCTGTGTCTTCCTGCTGAATTCCAGTCTAGTCCTGTCCTGACCTGCCAACTCTCCTGTGCTCTGCTCCTTGAACGCTCTTTCTTCTTGGGCTGGTTGTCAGCCTTACCTGATACACAGTCTTTCCTGCTGTGGCTTTGTAGGGAGTCCTGAAGTCCAGGAGTAAGAATTATATCCAACAGCCAGGCATTGTGGTAGGTGCCTATAGTCCCAGCTATTCAGGCGGCTGAGGCAAGAGAATCGCCTAAGCCCAGGAGTTGGAGGTTCCTCTGAGCTGTGTAATGCCAAGGGACTCTACTGAGGGCAGGCAATGAAGTGAGACTCTGTCTTAAAAAAAAAAAAAAAAAAAGAATTACATCCAGCAACATTGTTTCCCCTGCAAAGTGCTTTGCATTTCCTACTAAGTTTTAAAATAAGTTTGTTAGTTTCTACCTGAAATCCCCAGAACAATTCCAGAAACCCCATTGGATGTTGATCGCACCGTGTGGAATCTGTGTGTCATTTGGGAGATAGCTGATGTTTTACAATATGAGTCTACAAACCAGGGAGTGGTGTAGGTCCCATTGTTTTGGGTCACCGTTCATTTCTCTCAGTATGTTTTATAGTTTTCTCTGTAGGGATCTTGTGGGTCCTTTGTCAGATTGCTTCATAGGTTGATTTTTTTTTAATGCTCTTGATAAATAGTGCCATCAAAAATTTTATTTTCCAATTGTTTATTACCAGAATATTAAAATATATTTGATTTTTGTTTATTGTCTTTGGACATTCATTCTACTACTTTGTGAACATTTTGGGCTTTCCGTTGGTCGTGTCATGTGAGTTGCGACCATTCTGCCGCCGCCTCCTCATCTGACTACATCTTCCTCCCCTGCCACTCCTGCGGTACCCCAGCCTAGCCGTGATGGGGACCTCTTCTTCTTTTTTTTTTTTTTTGAGACAGAGCCTCAAGCTATCCCCCTGGGTAGAGTGCTGTGGTGTCACAGCTCACAGCAACCTCCAACTCCTAGGCTCAAGCGAATCTCCTGCCTCAGCCTCCCAAGTAGCTAGGACCACAGGCACCCACCACAGCGCCTGGTTATTTTTTGGTTGCAGCCGTCAATTGTTGTTTGGCAGGCCCAGGCTTGATTCGAACCCGCCACCTTAGGTGTATGTGGCTGGCGCCTTAGCCACTTGAGCCACAGGCACCAAGCCAGGGACATCTACTTGTCACAGCACAGGGAGGAAGCATTGGCGCACCATCGTTGTGTCTGATGGTGACTGTGGGTGTCTGCAGATACCCTGTGTCAGCCCATTTTTGCAGCTATATCAATACACAGTATTATGAACTGGGTCACTCACAAACAACTGACATTTATTGCTCACAGTTCTGGAGGCTGAAGATCCCAGTGCAGCAGATGCTGTGAGTGGTGGGGACTCAGCTCCTGGTTCACGAGATGGCACCTTCTCACTGTGTCCTCATACAGTGGAAGCGGGGGTGGTGGTGAAGGGACTCTCTGGGGTTCCTTTGTAAGGACACTGATTCCATCCATGAGGCTGCACTTTCAGGCCCTCATCACTTCCAGAGGCCCTACCTTCTAACCCAGCAGTTCTCAACCTGTGGGTCGCAACTCACAGAACTGTATTAGGAAGGTTGAAAACAACTGTCCTAACCCATCACCTTGGAGGTGAGGATTCAACATTCAGATTGTAGCATCGTCTGTTAGAACAAGAGTGTTACCTTTTATTCTTGGTTTCCTGGTCTGTCTTTTTATTATTAATTATAGTCATTTTGAAGATGCTGCTGAGTGTAGTATGCTGCAGTGCCTTCTGCGTGGGTGTTTCAAAGTAACCGAGCAGTAACTGACTTTGACGCTTGGAACTGGGATATGCTGCCCTCAGGACAAAAATCAGACAGTAACCCTTATTTTTGTTCTCTACAAGAATGTGTGTGATTTATTCCCTAAATAATAATTAGGTAGAATTCACTGGTGAAAGCTCCTGGGTCTGGAATTTCCAATTATGAATTTCTTGAAGAAATACAGGACTGTTTGGATTTTCTATCTTAGTTTTTAGTTAGAAGTGTTAATCAAGGAATTTCTCTTTCAGCATAGTTGTCTAGTTTATGGTGATAAAGTCATACACCTGTGTCTGCTGACTTTCTGGTATTTTCGTGCTCTGTAGTGCCAAAGCGGTGTTTGCAATTTGTGTTTTGTTTTGTTCTTGAAGTTTTGCTTAATGTTACTTTTTTTTTAATTTCATATCACCAAGTTTCAGTTTATTTTCTCTGTTGAGCCTTAGCTTTCTTTTTTTTGCCTTCCTCTCCTGTGCTGTTCACCTTCTTTTCTAATATAGGTGTTTAAAGCTGTGAACCTGCTGTGGGTCACTGCCTTAGCTGGGTCTCTTAAGTTTGGACGAGTGATGTTCGTAACTGTTACACTCAGGAAGCGTCCTGGCAGTTACTCTCTCCTCAGTGGGTTGGTAGAAGGCATGGACACTGGGGATTGTGGTTGCTTGTGGTTATGGTGCGAACTCACTGTGTCTGTGCTCAGGGGAGGGCCGCATGCTTAGTCCTCCTGAGCTCCCACGGGGGCTGCAACAGGTGGATGCCTGCATGGACGGGCGCAAGAGCAGACTTTGTGTCTTCAGGCATTCTTGAGGCAGCGTCCACAGTGCTGAATGTGAAGCTCGCAGTTGGCAGCAGGAGCCCTGGAGTGCCCAGGTCCCTCACGCCCACCCCTGCCCTCTGTGCTGCAGGCCTCTGGGTGCCCAGGTCCCTCACATCCACTCCTGCCCTCTGTGCTGCAGGC